ATATAATTTGGGTATACACAATTGACTGAGTCCATTACTTTTTTTTGCAGGGGAGGCGCTAGCCCCCCCCCCCCGGGGATGGAGAATTTTCCAAAGGCACCCTCTGGCGTGCAATGTGGATTTCTTTTTCAAGAAACCCACTGCCAGAGGGTAGTGTGAGATTCGCCTGGGGGGTATGGTATGCGACACCATATACACCCCTAGCTGCCTACCCACTAAACTCCACCCCCGTTACGTTGCAGCCCTCTGCTGTTTGGGGAGAGTGGCCGGGAACCGCATTTACATTACATCCAGCCACCCCCCGGCTGCCGGTTTCCCGGTGCCTCAAAAGATTGGGGAGAATTAAGTTCTCCCCCCACCCTCAAACACTCCTCTGCTAGGGCCGAAACCCTGTGATCCCTCCTGCGGGCGGAGCAGTAGATACCACTCAACGACCCGCCCGCAGGGGATCCTCCCTCCCTCTTGCCGCTCCTTGGTCCCGGCTTACCTGGGAATATCCAAGGAGCGGTGAGGGTCGGCCTTCAGGAGTCGTGTGGGGGTGCTACAAATACACCACCACCCTCGCTTTAGACCACCCCCCCCCTCGGCCAGCTGCTGCAGCGCAGCCAGTTGGTCCGCCCGGGCACTGGCACTAACCGAGCCAGATATCCCTGGCGGCTCCCTCTTCTTGGGCTCCCGCACCACGACAACAGCGGGGACAGCGCTTACAGGCGCAGAAACCCCACCGCCATCGGGGGAGGAAGCCTTCCCGCTTGTCGGGGAATGCCCCCCATCTGAGGGGGTACCCTCCTTCTTTATGTTCAGCGGGGTCATGGACCAAGCCATTTCTCCGCCAAACAGGCCACATACGCGCAACCCGCCGAGCAGGTCTCAAGGGAACCAACTCATAACGCGGGTCACGCGCCCGGCCCTTTCCATCTTGTCCCGGTCTGTCTCGCCGCCCAGCTTCAGCACCAGGGCCTCCGTGCCCACCCGCAGGTGACACCGGCGACCCCAGGAGTCCCGATAGCGGCGATAGAGATAGTCGGGACTAGTCTCGGGTTTTAGCCCGAAACCACCGCACCTTGTCAGCTCCTGCTGAACACGAAAGAGGAGATCTCTCCCCTCCTTCTCCTCTATGTGGTCCCGAAGGGAGACCACTATAGCCACTCTCTTCAGGTCCGACAGCTGATCCCCCATCTCCACCTCCCACTCCAGGATAGTGGGAGGGGGACCAGCCTCCGCCCCTTTATTAATAGTAAAAAGGGGGTTTAACCCCCTCTCTTCCTCCGGCTCGAGATATCGGGGGGGGCCCCTCCGTGCCAGACGGCAACAAGATGGAGCCCCCTCCGTCCTCCATACAAGGAGTCACCGGAGGAGATTCCCCCTTTAAAGGGGTGTCCCCCACCCCCAGGACCCTCCTCCTCATTTTTGGGGGCAAAGGGCCCGCACTCGCAGGATCCCCCCCCTCCCTCCACCTTACACTGAGGGAGTTTTGAGGGAATGGGAAGGGCGCCCCTAGGCTCATCCTCGCCGTCTCCCCTTTTCCCCTCTTCCACGGCCCAACCACTCAGGGGTGAGGCAAAGGGGGGCGCGGCCGCCGAAATGCGACCCCTTCTGCCCATTTCTCCAGTCCCACCGCCTCTCTCCGTGGCCATGCCACTCTGGGTCGAGATGGGGGAGGCGCGCCCGCCGTATTGCGGCCCCTTACGCTCTCCCCCACAACCTTCATTCCGTCCTTTTTAAGAGGAGCAGGAGGGAAACGGCCGAAACCACTCCACTCCCGCCCTCTCACTCTTCTTCCCAGCACCCCCGTTCCCGAGTCGCCTTGGGGAACCGGAGGCAGGAAGAGCCCCCAATACGGTGGCGGGATTACGCCCCCACTACCTTACAGGCGGGACAGCTCACCCGCTCGGTGCAGCCCTCCGCCCTGTGCCCAGGCCCTCCGCACCGGAAGCATAGTTTGCTCCGGTCAAGTGGATCCGGACACGCCCATCTCATGTGCCCTCGGCACAGGCATCTATAGCACCGGGGGAGTACCCCCGATGCCACAGACGCACCATCTTCATTTTGGGAGGTGCGGGTGGAGATCCCACCCTTCCGGGGATTCCCTCCACCCCCCTCCTTCTTTTCGGCCTTTGTAGGCTTTTTCTTTATTTGGAGGAGTTTTAGCCCCTCTACCGCCCTTGACGCTCTGGCCTGCGTCGGCATCGCTAGTTTAAGGGGTTTCCTCCTCCCTCCCGCTGGGTATCTCCCTGGGTGAGGCACAGACCTCAACCCATAGGGGTGGGGCAGATGTTACCCCCGCCCCCTTCTCGGTCCATCGAGGTGGGGCAGGTGCCACCCCCTTCCCTGTTGCACCGGAGCATTCCTCCGTTCTGGTCGTGTTTGGCCACACTGCCCACAAATGTGGGCCTGCCCCAATAGCGCCATTAGGCGCTTATTATCGGCCCTCAAAAGAGCCACCTTCTCTGCCATTACCAGGAAGCCCTGGAGGCATTGCAGGGTCGTCACCCCTGCTCCATCCGCGGTAGCTAGTTCCACTGGGGTGCCCGCGTGGCGCACCTCAGCTAGCCCGTCACAAGATGACGACGAGGAGTTGGCAGGGACGGGACCAACTCCACGCCGGCCTCTGGGGTGTCCGGTCACCTTGAGGCGGTAATAATCCGCTAATCGTCGTCATCTAAAAATCCATCAGATGTAATTTGTTGACAGAGTTTTCTTCTCCGAGTTTTTTATCGTGGTTTTCTTTCCACTAGGACGGTTGTCAACCAAGACTAACGAGCCCGTCCTGCCCGGATCTTTTTATAGAGATTTTATCACCCGCGGCCGTCGTCGAACGACGTCCAACTAGACGGAAGTACGATCGGCCCCCGGCCCCATACTTGGGGTTACGGTGTGAGTCGCCACGCCCCCCCCCCTCGTGCAATGGGAGGCCAGCCATTATGCCGGAGCACCGGCGTGCTAACGAGACTGGCTAGGTCCCGGGTTTTTTATCGTGGTTTTCCTTCCACTAGGACGGTAGTCATCAGAACTAACGAGTCCGTCCCGCCCGGGTTTATCTTCGGAATGTCCTTCTCCTAGATGTGCTCTTAGACCCCAACAGCCTCCCTGCCATCCATGCAGGAAAGACTTTTCCCACATGAATGAGGAAATCGATAGCTTTGGGATGCTCTGGCACCACGTCAAGGTGGCACATCGTCGCCAGAGAGTCCATTACTTCAAATTAATCTATCCTATCCTACCTATTATCTATCAACACACAACAATTCTATGTTAAAAAGCGGTATAGTACAATTTTGCGACCGGATAAAATATTTATTTTTTTAGAAATTTTGTTAATGTTATTACAGATTAGTAAACAGATTAGTAACCAATTATTACAAATTAGTAAACCAATTTAACGGCTAGATTTATAAAGTTTGATTAATCTGATTCAGAATAGCTTGATGAAACGATTAAGAGATCTGGATTATAGCAAGATGTTTCATTTATTGCTTTATATAATATTTGTAAAATTTACAGAATATTTTATTTTTATGTTACGTTTTAACTTATTTTCCATATTTTAGATTTGTTAAAACAAATTAGCATTTTATTTATTACACTTACTCCTTTAACATTTCTTCTGAAAGGTTATTTAAATAATATGGATTATTTTACATATTATATAAAACTGTCAAATTCACAAGCGCAGCTAATTAACACTTTTCAGCGCCGTCAGCGCAGCCTAATAATCTGATTATAAAAATTATCTGATTTTAAAACTGTCAAATTCGTATGCGCGGTTAGTTGACATTTTTCAGCGTTGTCAGCGCAACTAACGTCTAGAAATTGTAACGTACATCGCACGAGTTGGCAGACGATCTTTTAATTAGATTTTTCCACACCTGAACTTTAAACTGTTATATCTTTATTCATAGGAAACGTAGAGTAAAATTAAACATATTTTTCTTATGTAATTTGGGTATACACAATTGATTGAGTCCGTTACCTCAAATCAATCTATCCTATCCCGCTTATTATCTATAAAATTGATCGGTCTAGGCGTTATTAAGGTCCAATAATCTCAACTTTTCTGAACTCACGGTAAAGATACACGATCGTTGTTTTGCGCATTTTTTATACGTTACGTATGAACATGGCACGACACACGATTATGAGTTTGTTCTTTTTAGTTGCACTGGGACTGTACTAAAACAGGATAGTACAGTCCCAGTGCAGCTAAAAAGAACAAACCCTATGTCTCTTGATATACTCTATACTCTGTCCAGTAAGAGAAGGATAGGACAAAAACTCGTCCGTTTCGTGCAGGTCTCTCTTCACGGGACGCTTAGAAAGCTCTCCCACTCCACAGGACTGTAACTGTTTGTGCAGTATAATGCTGCGTTGCCAATGCCAACGCTTTCTCCACTTTGGTCGCTATACTTCTCCTATGCGCAAATCGTGAGTCCTTTTCTCACTGGACAAAGTATAGGTGCATGCTAGCGGCGAGTGTTACACGGTAACGAAAAGTTTGATCGCTCAGTGAGGACAGGGATAGCGTATGAGCAGGCAGGCAGAAGCTTTATTTTTCATTGTTGTGCAATACTTGACTGCAACGCCTAGAGCGTACATTTCACTGTCTAGCTACACAAAACGTATGCTTATTTGCTAATCTTTTTAAATTAATTTTTCAATAATTATTGCCAACATTGCAAAACGATAAAACACTTCTGTTCAATTTACTATGCTCTATCCGTACATAAGAGATTGTTAAATTTTTATCAGGCACTCTGCATAAGTGTAATATGCAGTTGTCTTAGAATGATCGTACCAACACTCGTGAGCGGAATAGAGAAGAGTAAGCTGAATAGAAAAGTCTTTTATCGTTTTGTAATTTTTATAATAATTATGAATAATACTCTAACGTGTGTCACATGATAGTGATACATCTAGTTTAAAAAAATTATACATAAAAAATATCATAGTATTCATTGTTCTATATAATGCAAATAAAATAAAATTGTGTTGAATTTTAGTGACTGACGATTCGAAGGGTGTACATCAAATGTACATAATTCCGCTTGTAATCTTAATCGCCAGTTTATTCACCATTGTGGGAGTTTGCTTAATAACTTGTGAGTATACTAAATACTTATTTTTTAAACATAAAAATACATCGTGATATATGTATAAAAGTGTTCCATTTTAAATGCCTTACAATTAGATAAATATCTCGAAAGTTAAGGAAAATACGAACAAGTATTTTAAACAAAAGTTGTAGGATTTTGAGGAGAAAAAAAAGATAGTAACAATTATTTGACTTTAAAGTTATCTTGAAAGCCCCGCCAAGTCAATATAAAAATCTGAATTGGAAATCCCTATTTTCTTCATTGCATATTCTTGTTGCTAACATCAAGATGTTTTCAAAACACTAAATACATGTTTCCTTTAATTAAATTCTTTTTGAGATATTTTTCTATTATGATAATTGTTTGCATAAAATATGGAATATTTCATGAAATATAGACTTTAATTATTTTACTTTACTATTTTTATATATAAAATAGCAAGAAAAATTAATATAAAAAATATTAAAAATTATTAAAAAATTTTATATTCTATATTTTGTAAAAATGTTGCTGCATTTTGCGTAATTGTAAATATAAAAATTAGTTATAAAAAAAATGTCAAACTTGGGCCTTAATAATAAAAAATTATTAAAATTGTAAAATAGCTATATTGATCCAGAGTCAGGTGTTAGATGCTACAAAAAAAAAATAAATTTAACCAAATTATTAATTCATACGTTTCGGCACATTTATTTCGGCCATCTTCAGTGATAACATAATAGAAAGCAAACAATCGTTACATGAAAGACAATAAAAACAAATATGCTCCGCAAGGCCAACGCATATCGGTTAAAGAATTTGAACGCTCATTATAACATAAGATAAAATAGCAATCAATTTAATACTGCGACGCGAAGTCGTCGTGTAACAATTGCAGGTTTTGCACATATTTATGTATGTCAACAGGTTTCAAAATTAAAAAGGAAAAGAGATCTTACTTGAAATGTCCACGTTATAAATAATATAATGTTACAGTAAACGGATAGATGGTCCACACAATGTGTCTCCAACTTCGAACGTATATGAGTCAAACTGTCCTAGTATGCGACACGCACAGCAACGCTCAAAAGTCATTCTTCTTTTTTTCCTTTTTCTTTATACTTTACAAATTGCAAACAATAAAAGAGTAGACAACTGATCGGTCAACCTCCACACACAAAAACAGTCGAATATAAGAGAGTCGAATTGTCAGAATGTCTGATAAAAATGTTCTGGCGTCCGATTAGAGAACTGAAATCCTTACAGATAAATTAAAAACTTTTTGATGTGTCAATTCAGATATATGTCAGGTGAATGAAAGATGAATCGTATAACTTCGTATAATGTATGCTATACGAAGTTATTACGAAAAAGTTTTTAATTTATCTGTAAGGATTTCAATTCTCTAATCGGACACCAGAACATTTTTTATCAGACATTCTGACAATTCGACTCTCTTATATTCGACTGTTTTTGTGCGTGGAGGTTGACCGATCAGTTGTCTACTCTTTCATTGTTTGCAATTTGTAAAGCATAAAGAAAAAGGAAAAAAAGAAGAATGACTTTTGAGCGTTGCTGTGCGTGTCGCATACTAGGACAGTTTGACTCATATACGTTCAAAGTTGGAGACACATTGTGTGGACCATCTATCCGTTTACTGTAACATTATATTATTTATAACGTGGACATTTCAAGTAAGAGCTTTTCCTTTTAATTTGAAACCTGTTGACATACATAAATATGTGCGAAACCTGCAATTGTTATACGACGACTTCGCGTCGCAGTATTAAATTGATTGCTATTTTATCTTATGTTACGTAATAACTTCGTATAGCATACATTATA